TACATGGATGGTGGTCTTTGTGGGATTTATCCAGGACCCTAACAAAAGGAGAATTTGAGTTTGGGGAGATGCCAAGCTTGTGGAAGTGGCGGGTAAGATGGGGCCCAGTGAGGTCAATATGCTAATACTGCAATGCTACATAATTTATCATCATCATCATCATCATTTTATGCATATGAGTGTTTTGTCAGCATGTAAGTCTGTGTACCACATGTGTGCCTGATGCACACAGGGGCCAGAAGTGGGCATATGCTGTCCTGAAATTGGAGTTACAGATAATTATGAGCTACTATGTGGGTGCTGGGAATTGAACCTGGGTCCTCTGGAACAATAGTCTGTACTCTTAAACATTGCCCATCTCTCTAGCCCCACAACTTTTCTTTTTCTTCCTTTTTTTATGTAACACCGGGGTTTGAACCAAGGATCCCAAGCAGGCAAACAGTGCTCTAACAATGATATCCTCAAGCTTCTCATTAGAACTTTTCATTCTGAGACAGTCTCACTAAGTTACCCAGGCCAGCCTTGAACTCACTTGGTAGCCCAGACAGACCTTGAGCTTGCAATCCTCCTGTCCCAGCCTCCTGATTGCAGGTCTCTTCCACCATGACTAGATTAATATTTTTAATATAGATTTTAAAACAGTAAAAACAGACAGGGGTCTGGAGCAATGCATCAATGGTTAAGAGCACTGGCTGCTCTCCCAGAGGATCAGGGTTCATTTCCCAGCACTCACATGTGTGGTGGTTTGAATAAATATGATGGCATCTATAGAATCATGTGTTTGAATGATTAACCCATAGGGAGTGCACTGTTAGGAGGTATGGCCTTTTTGGAGGAAATGCATCATTGTGGGGGCAGGCTTTCAGGTCTTACATGCTCAAGCTGGGCCTAATGGACAGTCTCCTCCTGCCTTCAGATCAAGATGTAGAACTCTCAGCTACCTCTCCAGCACCATGTCTGCCTGCATGCTGCCATGTTTCCCACCATGACAACAATGGACTAAACCTCTGAACTGTAGGCCAGTCCCAGTTGGATGTTTTCTTTTATAAGAGTTGTCATGGTCATGATGTCTCTTCACAGCAAAAGAAACCCAAAGTAAGATAACATGGCAGCTCACAAACCATCTATAACTCCAGGTTTATGGGATCTGGTTCCCTGTTCTGATCTCTGCGCACATGTATACATGAAGGCAAAACACATAGAGTAAACATATTCTTTGAAAAATGAAAACACACACTGATAGGTACACACAGTGGCCACATGGCTCAGTAAAGGCACTTGTCAACCAAGCCTGATTTGATGCCTGGAACTCACATAGTAGAAGCAGAGAAGTGACTCCTGCAAGGTGTTCTCTGACTTTCACAGACATGTCATGGCATGCATACATGTACAAAATAAATAAATTGGATTTTTTTTAAAGATAGGGTCTCACTATGTAGCTCTGGCTGTTCTAGAACTCACTATGTAGAGCAGGCTGGCCTGATACTCACAGAGATCACTCTGCCTCTGCCTCCTGAGTGCTGGGATCAAAAGGCATGTGCCATTCACCCTGGCTCTGACTTTTTTTTTTAAATTAAAAATAAGTGAACAAGCCAGGCAGTGGTGGCACATACGTGTAAACTCAGCACTCAGGAAGCAGAGGTAGATAGATCAATGTGAGTTCAAGTTCTACAGTGCAAGTTCAGGACAGGCTCCAATGCAACACAGAGAAACCCTGTCTCAAAAGAAGAAGAAGA